ATAATCGTTTGAATCGAACACGAATTTGCATTTCGTTTTCAATTTAAAGACCATAAAAATGTCATAATCGTAATGATCTCTCTTGCCCGTGCTGCACTTCGATTACATGGAAATGCATCATTTAATCGTTTGGCGCCATCGTTCGTTAGCCCACTAACAAAATCAGAACTCACACACCGAAAAAAGCACACAGTACACAGCCTTTTCTCAGCTAGGTTATATTTCGTGCAATTAATGTTGAATGGTTGATAGATTTACGTGTGCAGTCTCTGTGATCATTGATTTGACAGAAAAAAGAGCGTCACCTGAGGATTGGGGCGATGTGCCATACTTCTAATGTTCTGCAAGTAGTCCTAAGGCGACGCTTTTTTTTCTTGTTCGACGTTTTCTATCTGTCGTATATACAGAGGCTCATGGAGAGTATACGTGTGTCATGCCAATTAACCTTGCGCGCATTATACATAGCCTGCAGTACAATCAACATATCAATTCATTTGATCAAGATAAACGATCTATCCATTCAATCCAATTTCAAGTAAACGAATTCGCTATTGACTCTGCCGATGTTCTCAAGTCAATTTAGCCCGGTTAATTTCATTCTGATTTTTGTAATGAACATCGAAGGAATGGATTGAAATGACGGCGTAGCATCCATTCACACGAGGGAAAAACTCGACAAGTCCAAAAAAATGACAGCAGGAAATGTTGATTGTGGCAACTTGGTTAATCTCTATCAAAGTGACCCAAAATCGCCGTAAATTATACAGTATAATTAAATAATTGATAGAACCAGTGCAATATTCTAATGAAATAATGACAGAAAGAGAGAGTTCGATGAAATCACGATTTTCAAACGTTTCATTCATGTTATTTAACGTGTCGATGCAGAAATAAAGAGCGAATCGAAAATAACTTATTATCTGTGACTTGGGTGTGGACGAACATTTGACGCGAAACAAATATGCATGACGATTGTGTTGTTCTTTGCCACATTTACGCTCCGGTTAATCGATACAGCGTGTTACGAGGCTTCGTTTTCACGACAATCATCTGAATGGCATCTTCTCTCAAATACACATTTCCGAGAAGCATCTCTGGCGAGCCACCGGGAAAGAGAGAGCGGGCGATCCATGGGGGAGAAAGAGAGAGAGAGAGAGAGAGAGAGAAGGAGAGAGAGCAGGCGAGTGCACAGACAAAGTGTAAGAAAAAAAGTAATATGCAAAAAAGGAATTACTTTGAATCGTTAGCTGTAATTTGCCACACGAACCAGTATTCAATACCTATAGATCAGTGTTTTTTTTCTTTCTTATCTTCAAAGCCACATTTGTGCTTCGAATTCATGCTTGCAATAGATATCGTCATGCTAATTGAATATTATTCATCTGTGATATGAATAGCACATCGTAGCAGGATAAATTTTGTGCTTATTATGTCTGTTAAAAAACTGTAAATATTGCAATTGAAATGTGGCTAATTCTTGGTCGCCGTCGTCATATCCAGTGCCGGAGGTCATTTTGGAACACACACTTTCAATCGCGAAATTTGCGTTAACGAATCGAATATTGTATTTATTCACTTTTTTTAGTGCCTGAAACTGTAAAACACCATGAACACTAATCGCAGAATATTTTATCATAAATTGCAATTATCCAAAAATGGTCATTGAGATTTTCAAACAATGTTGTTGTTTTCTTTTTCGCACCAAATAACAAGGAAGAGAAACGAAAAATCCATTAACCGTTAAAAATAATCCCGTGTAAAACAGCCGTGGCTGCATGTGTTTGCTGCGCGGAGCAAAAAATATAATCCAATATCAGGAATCTGAAGAATATGCATAGAAAAGAAGAAAAAAAACCGTATCGAACACGGAAAATAAATGTTCAATATCTCCGAGAGAGAGAGAGAGAGAGAGAGAGAAAGAATGGCGGAGAGATTTCAATTGAATTTCGCCATTTTCACCACTTCATCGCGTTACACTTCCACTGCAAATGCTCAAATCACTTTATTGAGTTATAAAACGGCAACAGTTTTCAGTCAAACAAACTTCATCAGCATTAATAATAAACACAATTGGCTTGCCCCGTCAAACGCATATTCAAACACTTTCAATATTCCAAAAGCGCTGCGTGTTATTCACAATTTCATTTTCATTTCCCACACACAAAAAAACTCCGCACACAACGCTCGAAATGGTTTAAATATAGCGATAGAATTGATGTGTTCTTTTTTCGTTCGTTTGTAAAACTTACATGGTGCTTCTTGGATTCCGAAAGCGAGAATTTCCAAAACAAACGCCAAAACAGTGTAAACAATATCTGTTACATTGTTAACGATCTCACATGATTTGTGATAATATTGAACGGGTTCGGTGCAGTGCAACGCTAGGCCGTTGAGCTCGCCCGATCGTTTTTTTTTCTTCAATATTTTCCATTGCGTCTTATCTCGATCAATCTATCTTGCGTCGATTGATCAATTGGAATTGCCTATTAAATAGAATTTGACATGTAGAGGTGATACTCTTTTTTCCCTTTTCCTTTCCAATGTGTGTGGTCGTGATTGATAATAATAATCGTGGGTACAGAAAAAAAGAAAGAAAAATGAAGAAGAAATTGTGACGGCTCATCACGCAATGAATAATTATGTGGAAAATGGGAAACTAGATCACGATACACTTGATAAACAAGGAAAGAAAAAAGCCAAACGACCGACGAACTGTAAATATATCAACCATTTTACCGTTAGCTCTGGCCGCGTCGACGTCAAAAACCGGGTATTTTTACATGCATTTCAGGATGACTGGTGCAGATTTGTTGTTTCTCATTTTTCGGTGACCATTATCCACATCCCACTTGCTACTTGGGTAATTAGCAACTTTAAAGTACTCATAAAAATGATTTTGATGCACCGAAACCCATGTAAACAACACATAAAATTGAAATTGTCCGATGAAAATTCTTATTACCACAATGATTTTACGAATTTTAATGACGAAATTTATTGGACTTTTAGCATCGAAGAAAGACCTTTGACATGATGTAATCGGTTCGGCTCGCGCACATTCGTTTGTATTCTACAATTATCGCCACTTCGGTTGTTCAGCTATTTCATCTGTCGTTCTTTTTCTCCGTGTAGAAATGCGAAACACCATTCTTTATCACCATTCGTGCTTTATCACCATTCGCCAATGCGCCGAGGCCTACTCTTTTTTTCTACTTTCGTATGGACAATTGAAATCGTGCTAACGATTTGATTAGCGAAAAATTATATACTTTGTCGCGCGTATCAAATGTGAACTGACCACAAAAACAATCGATATCGCTGACAGTGCGGCAAACAAAGGCAAACACACAGAATGAAAATCACCACTGTAATAAATAACGAATTGATGACATCGGTCGTTGGAATCGACTCGATTTCGATGTGAGCATATGTTTAATTTTAGATGAATATTTCGAAAATAATCAATTTCCTATGTAAATATATACGTGCCGCTACTTTGAACCCGTTTTCTTCTGTCCACATGAGAAAATCGAATAAATTTTCATACATTTTCGAATAAAAGCCCAAGTTTCAAAAATCATACTTGGAATATTTAATAAAACAAAAATTCAAATTGAAATCTAATTTGCATCGAACAACAAGTGTTATTGCAATAATTCGTTCGATTTGATCTAAATCGATAGCAAATGACATGAAGAAAAAATTGATGAATTTAAATGGCTTATTCACCACTCGTAGGGGGTCTTGTCGCTAGAAACACTCTTACTAGTTGCCAAAGATGTTTTGGACTTTGTCAGGAATTTGAAGACGAAAAATATACGCAATTTTTAAACTAAAATCCATTTTACTCGCGGTCATCGAACGATGGCCTTGATTTGGTTCATTTTTTAATTAACAGCCAATTTTATCGCTTTGTTTCTGCTCGCAACTCTTTGTGACAACTCTGGTATGACGGCCATTTTTATCTGTTCTCAAAACTCGCTTCGATTTATGCACGAAATATGATTCAAGGAAAAGGAGAGAGAGGGAAAAAACAACAACATTAATGAAATTAATAAAGTCGGCCGTATCAACTTATGTGTGTCACACGCATTATAGTGATAAAAGCGATTTGAGCCGGTTTTTTTTGGCAAAATTACTTTAAAAATGCCCAAAATGTTCAATCTAAATTCCACCATTTGAATGTCTAAAAAAACATTAGGATTGAAGCACGCATCGATGGAATAATACCATCGAACATAAACCAAGAATCTAGCTATAGCTAGAGAATTGGAGATTGTTTCAGCAAAGAATGAGCAATAAAATCCACCAAATACGGTATCGTTCTGCGATGAATACAACGCAAATCGATACTCACAATAAAAATAAAGGTAATTCGAATTCGATAGCTTATTCAAAAATTGAATAAATTCAAAGAAAGTTTTTAATTTGATGACAAGAACATTTTAGACTATTCTATGATCATCAAAATTATTCAAATCATTGCGATTGAATTCAAAAGTTTTGTGAAGAGTTAAATTCAAGAGTTCTGGCTTGGTTGAGATCGAGTCGAGTAGAGTTGAGCCAAGTCGCATTAAGTCAGTAAGATATTTTCTCAACGATTTATTATAACGGAACAGATGCGAAGAACACACACTTCGCACAGCGACACACGCGAAAAATATGTTTTTAGCGCTTGTTTACATACATGGATCGTTTCAGGCATAGTTTCCGGCATAGTTTCAAGTGAGATCATTGCGTGTACTTGTCACTTTCAAACTGAAACACAATAAGTTGTTTTGAACGAGTGAAAAAAAGAAACGATAAAGTGCTTTGGCAAACGTGAAAGTGTTTTTTTTAAATTTAGTTTTGCATTAAGAATTCGACGGCCGCAAAAATCCATTCAGGCTAATTTATTGCTGAGATTGTGATTTTCATCAACTTGGGTACAAACTTCAAAAGTTTTATATGTTTTTATGCACAATTGAAACCAGTAGAAAAAAGTATCTGTGTCTACTTACTGTATTCGCTTTGATCGTCTTGTGTTCCGTTGACAGTGCCATCGGGCAGCATTTGCAGGAAACGTCCTTTAATCAGTAGTTGGATACGTTTGGTGGCTTTGCTTAATGAAAAATTGGCGGATCTTTCAATGCGTTCCGCATTGTTCGAATCATTATGTAATCGTTTGCGTTTATTTGCCGCAATTTGAACACTTCGTTCCGTTCGTGATAAAATCTCTGCGTCCACCATATCTTGAGTTTGCGTATTTGGATTTATGTTATCATTACTAATGCTATCAATGTTCGGCGATTTAGTGTCGTTAAAATTATTTAGATGATCTAGAAATACTGATTGAATAGTTGCTTTCGTTGTGATGGTTGATTGATGTATTGTGGTGGTTTGCTTGGTTGGCAATTCGGTTGTAAAATTGCCGTCACTTGGGCGAGTCGGTGATTTTTTGCCAACCAATTTGAATACATTGAATTTGGTCGCACTGAAATGTCGAGTGGCATTTTGTTCGTTCGTTGATGTTTTTGTTGTGTCCACCGGTTGATCGTTTGATTTAATGTTCGGTTGAGTTCTGGCTAGTACTTTGAGCTGTTCAAAATTGTTTGGTTGCTGGTTGCCATCACCGCTAAGTGCAGCTAAATTTAATTCATTTGATGCATCGGACGAATGATTTGTAATAGCCACCTTTGGTGTCGTCGTCGTTGTTGAAATCGAGCCATGACGGATATTTTTCGATGGATTCACTGCCGACGTCGACGTCGACTTTGTCGTTCGAGCCGGCTGTGTTGCATTTACGTGCCATTTCACAACGGACGTATCATTTTTCACCGTATCCAATCCGAATGGATTATGACTCAGTGATATATTCAATGGCATTGCATCGTTTGATGGTGTGGTGAGCATCAAGCGATTTTCACTTTCAATGGCATTTCGCTTGAGTAATTGCGTACGATTTGCCGGTGTAAAATCGTTGGTGCTCAGGCCGCCGCCGCCGCCAACAATTGCAACGGGCTTTGCCGTGCACATTATGAATGAAATGGCCAAAAGGAGTGAGCATACGATGGCCACTAGGGCCTTACTCCAATCTAACAATAGTTGGATCGGCATTAACCTCAGAAACGCCGTGCGCTAAGTCACCATTATACGCAACACCGTCCACTTATTGGTATTGGTTTTGTGATAAAATCCAACGCAAATCGCACACTTCATACATTGGAATTTAGCAAGCGGGCTATCTGGTACTCTATCTATGTGCCTTAGCTTTGTCCACCTTTCCAATTCACACACATAATTTGCAAAATTTACGTCTCATTCACAAGCCGCGCGCGAAAAAAAAGTCAAGTTCAAAATTCCACTTGGCACAAAAACGTGAGTAAGAGTCTTTTTTTCGGCCGCTCTTCTTCTCTTTTGGTTCGTTGTTTGTACTTTTTTTTAATCAGCGTTGATCAAATATGATTTATTCAAATTTTTTTGCTGTTTCCTCCCTCAAACACTGATTGCATAATACTTGCTTGTGAATCACACTCGCGTAAAATAATTTAGCATTCGAAAATGTTAGATAACAATTCATTCACCACCATGAAAATAACATGATTTATTTATTTTTGCGACTGATAAAATTTATGAACTGTTTGTTATCTGATGGCAGTCACATTCATTAATCTAATACGTCGGTAGTATTTTTGGGATCCAAACAGTTCGTTGGCTTTTTCGAGGGGTTTCAATTGTCCACAACGAAATAGTTCGGTCGTTCTTTTATGACTTGTTAGAATTCACGTATTTATGGCGTTCAAGGTGATTTACGTAATCAGAAAAAATGTCGTCGTCGTCGTGAGTAAATCTTCTATCAAATTCACAGAAAGACAATTTCTCATACACGATTTTTTTACCTGTTTTTTTTTTGCCTTCATTATCTTTGAACGCGCTAAAAGTTCATAACTGAATTTGAACTCATGTTGAAAATGAATCACACTGTGGTATTATTTCACCGTGTCAAAAACCTTCTTCCTTTTATCCCGATAGATGAAAGAACAGCAGCTCTGTTTTACATAACACATTCATCGAGTAAAAACGCGTTTGAATGAATCGAAAGTCGGCTGTGTGGCTTTTGGCCAAGGAAAATGGGTGAAAGTAAAAAAATCACTGTATGCTTGTCCTCGTCATGAGTATCACCGCATCGCATTCGCTCGAAATGAATGTTTTGCGAAGAAAAATGTGTGTCTCGCTAAATTGTTCAAGCCGGCGTATGTATCAATTGTTCTGTAGTGTACATTTTCTTGTGTGACTTTCGGCTTTTCGGGCAGTCGAACACAGAAAAAAGCTTCCTCATCTGATCACGTAGCACACAACACGTACGGTTAAATGTTCGAAACGCGTGTTTCATATGTGTGCACAATTAATGGGCTGCTTGCCGCAAAATGAGAATAAATCAAACGGTAAAAACAAAATCAGCGACTCTGTTCATTTATCGGCACAAGTAATTTTCTTCGGTTTTACTTTTGTAAAATGTTTTGTTTCCGGATTGAAAAGAATGCACCATGCAGATTGACCACTTTACAAAATGAATAATGCCAAAAGACTAAAACAGAATCCAATTTGAATTTTCAACACACACCGTTAACTCAGTTTCGATGATACGTTAAAATTTATTTGCGATTGGGCTTTTTTGTTTCTCTCACGAATTTTTGTTCGGTTCTTTTTTTCCACTTTGGCTCACTGATGAAGATTGCATAAATTATTCGAAATTAATCAGCATTTTTTCGAAGCTAATTTTGTCGTCGAGAGGGACCTATAACGGTCAACATTTCACTAAAAAAATGAAAGGTCCTTTTTTTGAATAAAAATAAACACTAAAACTTTTTTTTTCGATAAAAACCATCCAATAATTGTGTTAATCACATTTGTGATGTGCAGTCACAACGGAACTGAACATGTTGATGCAGAGATGCAATATCGAAAATTTCGTATGCTTTCGAGGCAGAAATCTTTGCGATGAATTTCGGTTTTCCGATGATGATGATGATGAAGAAAACAACAACGCGCTGGTATCTCGTCGGATGTCGAGCACAGACTGAACTCAGAATTGAGTTCGGCGGACGAAAAAAAAATTGGTTAATTTCTAATGATACCGATCACACTCTCTCGTGTATATACATAGTCCATGTAGCGCATACACACACACACACTGGCACGGTTCTCTCCTGTGAGAGCAACCCGACGCATGCAGTGGTGTATCTATACGAATGGAGACGAGAGCAAAAGCGAGAGACCGAGATGTTGTGTGTGATACGCGTACGGCATTTGATGACGGAACCGAAAAAAGCCGGCTACTAAACTCATTCGTTCAACGAAACACACGAATTTTGTTTTCATTCCTTCTTTTCTTTTTTCATTCTCTAACATTTCACTCAATCACACATTTCGCTCGCATTCGGTTCATCTCGAATTGATAATGCATTGCGTATTGTTGTGCGGTGTTTCGACTCAGCCGTGTATCAACAGCACACACGTTCCAACACATAAAACATGCATGAGTTTACTTTTTTCTCAATTTGTAGCATACATTGTGGCGCATATCTTGTATGGTTTGAGTGAGATATTTATTCATCTCATGAGATGAAACGGAAAAAAAGTGATTTGAATATACCGTTCGAATACGATTGGTTTGTGTTTATGCAGTTGAATGTGGGGCGCAGAAAAAAATACAACAGGACGATAAACAAACAGCGGAATACATGCATAATTTTTAATTGTACAATTCGTGTACAGTGTACACCCGCTCCGCTATGTGCCTCTCGTTATTCAATTTTATAAATTGATATTGCATTTTGAACGAGATGCTACATGCATTCGAACGCTAATAAATTATTTTTGTTTCCGAACATGTTTTGCCTACGAAGCGTGACTCAATGACATTTTTCCGCAACGCACGCAGATGACTGAAACCAATGTTAGGATGTCATAAATATTTACTCGAAAATTACTCTTGCATCCACTTCTCAGTCTGAATTTTCCTTTGCTTAACCGTCATATTTCTTGTGATTGACTTTGGGTGATTGGTCCAATGAAGACATTGACATGTTGACATCATGCAAATGAAAATACACATTGACGACGACCGTGTCAAAGTGAAACAGTTTAGAGGTTCATTTCAAATGCATGTTTATTGATTTTAAAGCGTGTTTAACGCACTGAGAGCTTGAAATGTGACAGTCTTGTGCTAGAATTCTATTTATCAAGGGCACGTTTGTTAAAATATGTCAAGTTTATTCTTTCAGTTGATAACAGGAGTTATACATAAAACAGTGAAACGATTCGTTGAAACATCGAAATATATGGAAAAAAGGGAGAAAAAAATTAATTTGAATGAGTGCCTTTAAGCTACATTGTGCCATATATGTCATATGATTTCAGTTTTCCTTTTACTTTCCACGATATTCCTGATTTTCCGGAATCATTTGGGTACTTTTAAAAATATACCATTCATTTGACTTTAAATCATGCATGAAATCGATGCCTTTTTCGGTCTACAAAAAAAAAAATTCATTCAAAAAATTCAGAATGCGCCAAATCAGAGGTATGGAAAGAAGTTGAATTCGAAAAAATCATAAAAGAGCTTCATTTTAAACTGAATGCTCAATGGTTGCCATACAAAAAATTTGATATAGTCCATAAAAATAGCATTAAATGGTGTAATGTTGCAATCGGATATGATTGAATTGCATATGCTACATAAAATATTCGCGACGTCAAACACCGCACTTCAAGCGCTATTGCTTTATCAAGCAATTGTTTTGCACATATATAGTACACATGAGGTTCAAAAGACACAAATCCCAAAATAACAAACAGCAACGATAACAATGACTTCAAAAATTGTTTGTATTTTTTCATTTTGTTTGTGTATTTTGATGTTCGTCAGCATTTTGCGGCATTTTTTCATTCACCTGTTTTTCTTTCAAAATAGTTTTTGTTGCAATTGAAAATGTCTTCGATGCACTTTTTCACCAATAACATATTTTACTTCGTGGCGATAATGTGACCAGCCGATCATTTCCAAGTAACACGTCGAGTAGTTTGGACGTTTAAAAACCTTTGTTCAAACTGAATTAGTGGTTGAAGTTACTTTTCCAACAAATTGTTGTGAATTTTTCTGTGAGAAGTGTTTCAAAATCACCCACAAAATGGTATTTTTTCGTTCTTTTTTTCTAAGTGTTCAAAAGAAAAAGTGATTGGTGTTTTGTTCAGTGAACGATTTTCTGTTTGATTATATTGATTTGCATTTTCATTGTGAAATCGAAAAGAAAAAACCGAACTGAATCCAAGTGAAATATTAATGAATTTCTTTTAATCCATTTTATTAGATCATCAAGATCATTACGCTTTTGTGCATCGAATCGGTGCTGTGTACTCCACTTTATTGGCAATTCGTACCCGCATATGATGTCCAACATCAATCAGATCTTACTGTAAGTGTAGTGAGTTTTTTTTTTTTTCAAATCGATTGTTTGTTCTGTGTATTTTTTCTTTGTTAAAATGTGAAAACTAATTGAATAAATTGTGCATATTTTTGTTTAGGCAACCCCGTCTGAAGTGTTTGGTGTTGATTTACTAAGAGATAAAAGACAAGAATGGTCGCACAACCCAAAGCATTTGGACGAAGAATCAATGGGAGTCAATCATTTGGAGCAAGCAAATCCAATGCCACAAATCGAAGAGCAGCAAGTCGGCGAAGCATGGCAACAACAAAGTGGACTCCATCATCTTGAATCGACGCAAAATTTCCCCGTGTCAACGATTGAAGAGCAACAAGTTGGTGCTGGAAATCCATTGCCAAATCCATTACCACTCTTGATGTTAGATGATCAAGTCGGACAAAGAATTCCAAGGGTACAAATTGAAGAGCAACAAGTCGGTGAGGCATGGACTCATGCACAAACACATTTAGAGCAACAGAATATGCCAATGCCAATGCCAATGCCAATGCCAATGCCAACAATCGAGGAACAGCATCTTGGTCAAGAAAATCCAATGATTCACTTAGCTGAGGCAAACCATCCGCTCATGCTGTTCGCCGATCCAGCAGCCCCATCGATCGAAGAGCAACAAGTTGGTGGAGAATGGAACCATGATCAAGCCCACCTTGGTCAACAAAATCCAATGCCACAATTGGACGAATCGGAAAGAGAAAAACGACAATGTTCGTGTTTGGGAGCTGCTTTATCCGAATTGGACACGCAAAACCCGTCATTGCGGTCAATTGAGGAGCAACAAGTCGGTGAAGTCTGGAACCAAGCTCAAACTCATTTAGAGCAACAAATGCCTATGGCGCATTTTGATGGAAGTGAAAGTCAGTTGGGTGAAGAATGGCATCAACAAAGCAGGCAACATCATCTTGAGGCCGCACAAAATTTCCCAATGCCAAGTATTGAAGAGCAACAAGTTGGTGGAGAATGGAACCATGATCAAGCCCACCTTGGCCAACAAAATCCAATGCCACAATTGGACGAATCGAGAAGAGAAAGACGTCAATTTCCATTCCCATTTCCAAGAGTTGAAGAACAACAACTCGGCCAACAAAACCCAATGTCTGAGTTAAGTGCACAGAATTCACCAATGCCATCGTTCGAGGAGCAACAAGTCGGTGAATCCTGGAACCAAGCTCAAACTCATTTAGAGCAACAAATGCCTATGGCACATTTCGATGGAAGTGAAAGTCAGTTGGGTGAAGAATGGCATCAACAAAGCGGGCAACATCATCTTGAAGCCGCCCAAATTTTCACACTGCCAAGTATTGAAGAGCAACAAGTTGGCGAAGAATGGAACCATGGTCAAGCCCACCTTGGCCAACAAAACCCAATGCCATCGATTGAAGAACAACAAACCGCACATTTGGATGAGGGAAGCAGTTCACAAACGCTTGGTGCACCATGGTCATTTGATGCCATGTCAGCCGGAATCGATCAAATTTTGCATCCAGCACAATTTAACGAAAATGTAAGTGAATTTTTTTTCTCTGTTCACATTCACTTTTCACCGGATTCATCTTTTTATTTCTGTCAAATTGTAAATCATAAGTTTTATTTTAAAAAAAAATTCAAATATTTTTCTTTAACAGGAAAACTCACAACACATGAGATCATCTGATGACGAGAGCGAATTTGAGGAACCGGACGGTGCTAGATCGGATAAGGGAGACAAATTTCTCTCTCCAGCTTACGGCTACCCAGAATACGCACCACCGGCGTATCAACCCAGCTACGATGACAGCTATGCTTCACCAAGCTACGGCGGATACGGTATGGTTGAACACACTTCGCAAGTGTAAGTTGCATCAATTTAAAATCGTTTTTTCTATTACCGGGCAATAAAGGAGATGACTACAGTTACAAACCAGTTGCACCAGTTGTACCAGTTTTCAAATTGAAACCATTCAAAGTGTTCAAACGTAAGTCGTTTAGTTTGATTCAAAAATGACAGAGCATTCCAAATGACTAAGATTTTTTGTTCGATTTAGCGAAACTCTTCAAATTCCCAAAATTGCTGCCTGCTAAGTATGGATATGCTTACAACTCATATGGTAAGCGAATTGTGTGTTATTTTAACGATTGAAATTCTGATGAATCTTTTTTAAATTCGCCAGCATACGCTCCTGCTCCTTATGCTCCTGCTCCAGCTGCGTATTCCCCTGCTCCGTATGCCCCTGCTCCGTATGCCCCTGCTCCGTACGCCCCTGCTCCGTACGCTCCTGCGAAATTTGCTCCAAAGAAATTTTTCGCAGGTAAAATGAATTGCCAACAAATTTCCATAAGATCGTTGAATTGAACATTTTGAACGTTTCAAAATAACCAACATTTTCATTCATAGCTCCACCAACAGCTGCCTATGGTGGTTATCGAGAAGCTGAAGAGCCATTGCCAATGCAATTTGAACGTCGACAACAACAACAACAACAACAACAGCCAATGAGTTTCACCTCTGTCGATGTGGCAAGACCAAATGCCGAACAAATGAAGCAGCTTGTTGAAAACCTCCAAAATATGCAAGCACAAAATACTCAGCCGCAAAATCCACAACAGGGCCAACAACAAGATGTAGCAGCAAGCTTGCTCGATGTCGATGCACCCAAATCAATTCCGGAAGAGAAAAATGCAAAGGAAACGAAAGAGCAAGTGAAAAACTTCCAACAAGAACAACCATCTCAGGCTCAACAAACTCCGATGAACCTACAGCAACAACCACCCATGGTAAATTTACTCAATTCACCAAGTATTACACGTCAAAAGTGAACTAAACACATTCTAAATATTTCATCCGACGATTTTCATCCCAACTAACAAAATGCATAAAAATTCTTAATTAACAGGCGACGCCTTTCTAGAATCTAGGTGAAAGACATCTGCAGATGAATGAAAATGCCGCTCAACAACTGGACGCATCATTATTTCCAAGGTATGCATACTACTCGTTAGGTTGCCTCCGAAGGCATTCCGTTGTTCGAAATATAAACGATAAGCCGAATGATTTTGCGTCGCATTTTGGTAATGGTAACTTTTTGACTCACGACAAATCGATGGTGAAGCCTAGGGTGAAGCGACAAACTCAGAATAAGTATCCATACGGCGTTTTTTACTTGTCTCCGCAAAAATCCAATCAAGTTACTACTGTGTATCAAGCACCACATCCTGATCAAGTACGAGCAATTTACCCATACGGATCCGGCCATTCGGTCAATGCATCTTGTGTTCCGACAAATGTTCAGGCAATTAATTCATTAGCCAAATTGAGCCCAATTCAGTACGTAATCTATCCAACATCAGTTCAGCGACCGCAGTCACACCAGATGCCAGCAGCACCACCACAACCGCAACAAGTACTTGCAAGACCAATTTGTAAACCGAATCCAACTTATGTAAAACCTCCATCGATTCATCCCGTACCTCCAGCAATTTCCATTCCGCTTCTCCCAACAACAACTTCAGCTCCAGCTCAGACGCCTCCAAAAATTTGTCACTGTCCTTTGATTCCTGCACCTCCACCCACTAAACAACCATATGTTGTTACTACCACTGTACCAACGATATCCATTCCTCCAAATCCACCGACATTACCAACCCTTCCGACGCCTGTAACACTTCCGACAATTAAAACCACCGAAGAATGCACAATAATACCAACAACGACTATAGCTTCGGGAACCACAACCACAACGCCCCATATCAATTCCACTTGCACCGATAAAAGATGTGCATTTTGTGTTAAAAATGCTTTCTTTTTCTTGGGATTCAAACCAAAAAGTATTGCAGCGATCAAAGATGCATTGAAGAATGATGAAGACAAGGAAGATTTTCTGCGCGAAGTTGGTGGTGTGCAAAATGACAACGACAACGGAACAAATGCGCAAGAGAACCTTGAATTTGATATTGAAAAAGCGGTTGTGAATGTCGAAAAAGAGTCATCCGATCAATCCAAACTCATAAAAGTGATTGAAGATTTGGTTATTGAGCTGCGCAAACCGAAGAAAGACTATGACTTTGCCGATGAAGACGACAATGATGATAATCCAGATGACTTTGAAGATTGCCATGACGAGTATGAAGACTACGATGACAATAAAGATGATGCGCCTGACGTCAAAATGCCGTGCCAAACTAACTCTGATTTAGTTAAAGCATGTCAACATCTCTCTACAACTCTCTCATCATATGGCAAAAAAGATTGCTAATTTAATTTTTAATTTTTAAAAATTTTCTACGTGTTTTCTTTTGTTTTGTTTTTTTTTAATCAATTCCAAATCCATTTTTCCATATTTCATACCGAAATTCGCAATTTTATCCATTCACAAAATTTCAGCTTAATCACACATTGTTTTTTTTTTCTTTTTTCACACACAGTAATCCCATATTAAATCATCCATTGACATTGAAATCGATACCATTAGCCACCCCATCTACATTACCCATATCAGACGCATCAGAAACCGTCGGAGCCACACTCCTCGACAAAGTCAACGTTGGTGTTGACAAATTGATGGACAAATTCCTCTCACCATATCTAGGAAACGAAGATGTTGTTGACTTCTTCAATCCAAAATATTATTACCTACCACCACAAAAAGATCCATCGAATACATACGATTATCTGAATTAGAGGTCATTCACAACAATTTTCATTTTATCTACATACATTGAGCCCGATCATTTCAGTTTACATCAGGTGTCATTTCCTTTCCCTGTCATCAACATTTATTGTTCATTCGTTAAATTTTGAATCTGTTAAATTTTTTTTTGATACATTTTATAAATAAAACTGATTGAAATTAAAACGTTTGGCGTTTTCTTTCTTTGATTTTGAATATCATTGTCTATTTCTTTTTGAGAGAGCGATAGCTTGTTGGTAGCGTCATAGGTAAGATTGTCATTTCATTGTAAAAACTCATATTTTCCCGACAAAGTGAGGTCCATTGATAAATTCTACAAGACTTGTTGATATTTTCGACCAGGTTTTCGAAAACAAAGCATTTACTGCTTTAGAAAATATTATGATATTCTGACGAATAACACACATTGTTTTCCCGAAAATCTGTTATGAAAACAGAGTGACAAAAATAAAACAAAGTTGATAAAATTTCTTTGCTTTGCATTTAAACATCAATATTTATTTATTAATTTCTTTCTTGAAATTATCCCATTCACCATTTTGGAGAAAAAAACTAAGAAACATAAGATAAGATAAGAACATGTAATAGAAATTGGTAATGCTTTGAAAAAAATATATCACAAAACCAATTGAATAACAAAAATGTTTATTTATGCACGATTAAAAGCAATATTCATAACCGATATTCCGCACCACCAATTAAAAAAAAAATTGAAGAAAAAATTCAATTCGTGATCCATTTTGAGCCGATTCGTTTTTGATTTGAGAAGAATTTAATTGGCAGCAACAACCATTTGTGGGCAGTTTGGAATGGCACAGTTGACTTCAATGCCACAGCCACCGCTGCGAGTGCGTTGTTCAAAGTGTTCAAATAAGATTGGCTTGCGGCAGAAAGCACATTCCTGTAAGAGAAAGACACAAAATGGCATTAAATTTCAGTTCAACAATTGAGAGTTGGAATATTCAACACAACCGTATAAAAAAAACTACTGAATATATGTACCTCAGTGCATTGTGGTCCGTTCATCGGCAATTCGAGTTTTTTCCACACTTTTTTCATGTCAGCCACGAGAACGTCCATCATTGCGCGTGTATGATATGGTGTTGGTGCCAAACGGAGTTTTTCTTGTCCACGAGCGACCGTTGGATAGTTGATTGCCTGAACGTAGTGGCCGTGCTCTTGTATCATCAAATCCGAAACTTGTGTGCATTTCAATGGATCACCAATTTTAATAGGAATGATATGCGACGGAGTGTGCTCAACTGGGAATCCTTCATTTTGCAAGGCCGTGCGCAAATAACGTACATTATCTTGATGTTTTGCGCGTAATGCGCGACCCTCGTCCGAAGCGAGGATTTCAATTGCCTTCATTGCACCGGATAGCACAGTGGGTGGCAATGAGGTCGTAAATATGAAACCAGCTCCATACGACCGAATAACATCGACCAAATTTGACGTCGATGCGATGTAGCCACCGATATTGCCAAATGCTTTACCTAATGTACCACTTATGATGTCCATTTTATGTAGTTGTCCGTCACGTTCACCGATGCCTGCACCATGCTCGCCATACAAACCGACAGCATGCACCTCATCGATAAAGGTTAACGCCCCATGTTCATGAGCAATGTCACACAACGTCCCCAAAGGGCATACGGCACCAGTCATCGAATGCACCGTCTCAAATGCAACAATCTTAGGTATCGACTTGTCAACCTTACTCAACAACTCATCCAGATGCTTGGGGTCGTTGTGTCGGAAAATATGCTTGGGCGCCTGACTGTTTCGTATCCCTTGAATCATCGACGCATGGTTGCCCGCATCCGAAAAGATGTGACACCCAGGTAATTGCTTGGCGAGCGTAAATAGCGTGGTATCATTGGCGACATAACAACTTGTGAATACCAAAGCAGCCTCCTTCTGGTGTAGTTTGGCTAAGGTTTTCTCCAGATTCTCATGATACAACGTATTGCCTGAGATATTACGCGTTCCTCCAGCTCCAGCTCCATTTTCCTCAAGCGCCTTTCTAACTGCTCTCTTCACTTCCGGATGAGCCGACATGCCCAGATAGTCGTTTGAACTATAACAAATGATTACACATGAGATGATTGGTATACAATGAAAATTGTTGATGATGAAAAACCAGCATTTAACTCACCACCAAACGGTAATCGGTTTTTCGCCCCATGAATATTCGAATGCCTTCGGGAATTCACCAACGCCAGCCAACCGGCTCACCTTCTTGAAGATACGGTACGAATGATCCTTCTTCTTGCGTTGGATTTGCTCATGGAAGAAATTCTCATAAGCAAAGCTACGTTCCATCGGAATGTCTTCGACGGAGTCGCTCACATCGCGAACAATATTAGCGGCCGATGTCGATGACAAAAAGGGACACTTTGTATCCACATTCGATTCGGTCTTGGCTGATTGAATGGCTGGCTCAGCCGAGTTGGCATTGGTCGATGTCGACACATTGGCAATCGGTGGATTTTGCAACGACGAAATTGATCGCGATACAACTGGGCATTGATTACCATAGGTTTTCAACAATAGTGGTGCATAGTTGCGCACATAGCTAGTGCTGAGGCGAGTTAAAAATGGGCAAGGCATCTTCTTAATGCGGCTCACCGTACGACACAAAGAGTAAAATGTTTTTGAAAGCTGAAAAATAAACGACAAAGAGAAAAATGTATTCGATTAGAACGACGGTCTCAAACGGTCTGACATTCAAATAAATAATTTATCAACCTAGTTTATTAATACAATCTATTATTATAAGCGTAAGCAAATGAACTTCCTTTTGAATATAAAATGAAGGAAAAAACGGTTGACATGAAATATACATCGCGTGGATATCAAAGGTCAAGAAACTTTTTCATACGCCAGCGACAGAAATGAATTATTTCCAAGAACTCAGTGCGATATCCGAAAATTATGATTGTCACTTTTGGGTAAGAGCTAAGCAATCAATAATAAAAATGGAACGTGCCACACGCAAATATTAGTTTATCGCCAGGTCAGGCATATTGAACACGACCACTTTATGACATTCTTCAATGCAAATGAAGTGTCGTCAAATTTAATTACCCTCTTGGTTTTACTATCGCTAATTGCACGACAAACCCATCAAATTGAAAAAGAAAAGAAAAAAACACGATGGAAATTCAATTTCGATTGACTTTGCAATATTTCGTGTTATTGATACTATTGTTTATTTAAGTGGCGACATGTTTTGTGCCCAAGTCCAGTAATTGATACTTTGTGGTCGGATTGTAGTTTGCAATCTAACTACTCCAACCTTATGGCATTTTAAATTTATTTATTCATTTATTATTATACATGGCAAACTTCATTGTTCATTTCTAGTAGACATCTCCTACTAAAATTGAAGTTTGCCACAAATCTTTACGTCGGAAAAATTGAAAAATCTAATGATCGTTTTTTTCCATATTTGAATACAAAAACCGCATAATTTACACTATTAGTTACAATTGATGCTAAAGCATATCGTTTGACCTAAGGCAAAAATATATTTTTAGCAGTTGCATAGCAACACATTGATTTCAGAGTTTTCGTGATTCGACTTGAATGAAATCGATTTTAATTTTTTTTTATTTTTTAAACCACTTTTCTGACTACTTTATTCGCTGAATTCAGTCGATTGTATAATCAACATTTAAATACGTAGAATTTATTCAATTTGATAATCCATTCAACCGTATTTAAATGTGAAAAGCTGAATCAACTTACGATTTCAACGAAAAAAAATAAATCAATATTAAATTGAAACACCAATGAATCCGTCAAAATTTATTCCAATTTTTCGCAAAGACGGTTTTGCAAAGCGTTTTTTCTTCTTCTTCTTGTTTAATTTAGTGTTGCTGTTGATTTTTTTATTTATTATTTTCAATAATGACACAGAAACTGTAAGTGTTGACACAGTTTAATTTTTTTTAAAAAAGGTCGCGATTTTTTCCAGAAAAAATAATATTTGAATAGTTTACTTGAAATGAAATGTTGGATTTTTAATCACAATTTTCTAACCACATCATTCGTATAAAACACTTCTTCACTCGCACCAAATGTGCGGTCTAATAAAAATGAAAGTTTATGGAGGAATGAATGTGCATAAGCTGCGTCGGCAAAGTATCTACATAACTGGATTTCAGTTTCCTGTATTTAATTGCTATTACATGAAGTGGCCAGGAAAAAGATCACATAAATCAATCAACCGATTCCAGTGAATAGGCACAGGTGGTTGATAAATAAGTTGATTGCTTTTGATTAGTTGATAGATATTAAATGGTATCTTTGAAGTGGTCAATTTCTGTCACAATGATTCAGCACAAACAAACAAAAATGATAACTGGTTTTGATATGTAATTGTGTATCACATCGCGGCTCTTTATGGTTTGATATTGATGTAAAATGATTGGATAGAAAAAAATAGTCAAATCATGTGCTACTTCAAGGCTAAAAACTGTTATGTCAGCCGAAAATTTTGAGGTAAAACAATGCGAACATCTTATCTATCCGCATGATAGAATCTAAGCCATATTGTATTTAAAATGTGATGGCACTCGACAAAATACCACAAAATCACATCGAAATAGAAAGAAATATGTGTACGGAAAAGTAAAATAGAATCACTTACATATGATTTGTTATAAAATGGAAATTATTTCGAGTAGAAAGCGACGATGATATTCAAATGCGTCAATGCTTGTGAGAGAATGACTTTTAATTTTCAAACAACGACTCGTGTAACAGTCACTCCCATTGATGTTGTTTATTAAACGCTTAAACGGATACTGAATACGTTTGATGTGCTGTGCGTGTCTCGTTGTGCCAATCGAATAGAAACTCAAAACAAACAGAAAAAAAAAAGAAAAAAAAAATAGAAACTCCAATAATTTATTACCATCGACGGGACGGGCCACTTAAAGCAAAAGAGACACTCGCGAATACATGTCAACCGTTGGAATTAAATATCGTATCAAATCGTTATGAGCATTTGCTTCTTGCAATTTTCCAATCATGTTACGTCTGATTCGCAATCGTTGTGTTTCTTGGCACGACAACCAAACGCAGATAAATACACCGAGTGAACTGATGTAATAAAAGCAACAACACAAATGCAATCGAGCGTGAGTCGAAATTGATTTCACGAATATCATGTAAGCATGTGAATGGTTCAATAGATGAATAATGTGAGTAATTCCATGTATAAAGTTATCGACATTTAAGTTGAACTGGTCGAATCGAAAATTCCAAATTATTTCAAGTTTCAATCAACATTTTGACCATTCTATAATTGACAAGTGTGAGTGTGTGGCTATGACGTTGTATGCAATTAAAGTGAATAAACCCGTTTTTCGGGTACCACTTGGAAGAGACAGAAAAAATGAATGAAATGAAACGTCATCTTTCAACATTGGACACCTCGAATCCGCGAGTTCAATTTTACTGAAATTAATGACTGAGTCGTTGTGTGCATAAAAAAGGATTTGTTCATTCAGTTGTGTACGTTTTTTTGTACACTCTCGTCGCGTTTAAATTCGTTCGCTTTATCGTTCTCTCTCACACAAATTTTGCTCACATATTTTTTGTCGCCACTTCTGCTTGAATGAGTATTCTATTTAGGTCATCATCGTAAATTTGCTTTAATTAAATGCGCTAGCCTCGTGAACGTATCGATATAAGAAAAAAAAAACAAATACTTTGTATTACAAAAATATTATACCCCACGAAGTCGCTTTCGATGATTGTGCCGAAAAAATACTATTAATAGCAAATGCTCATGATAACATAGTTAGAGATAAGATTTTGCACACATGCTTTGCTCAACAAGTGCTAAGCGCGAATTTTATGACCTTGCTTCAACGAAAACCTCTGCCCTTGACTCGATCCCTCAACGGATATTTGAACATAAAATTCATTGAGATACATTGTCATTGAATCTGCACAGTTCAATCCACGAGCAGCGAGCAAATTGAAAGGGAGCCTCGTAACTGTCTAAGCACACTTTGACCTTTTCAGTGACATTTCAATATTTTATGAGCCTAAGAACTGTCATCTTTTCGAAATTCTTTCGGATCAGATGCAGAAAAAATGATTTTGTTGAATGAAAATCCGTTGATTTGTATTTTCACTGAGGTTTTAGGTGGACTTTTTTCTGGCCACTGCAACATTGAAGTTAAAATATTCAATTTCATAACAATCTTAATATGTTGCCTTATGTAACATTTCACGCACCGTACATTTGCAGTTAAACTCAATTGTTCAGGCTATTCCATCAGTTTTTTTCCTCTTATTTTTAGCGCATAAGCTGAAAACACGAATCACACTTGTATGCACAAAATTTCACTTTTACAAAGAGGCGAAAATGTTCCAACTTTACACAATTTTCACTTACCTGTTTTCGTTTGGAAGGGTGCTCAACACTGTGGTTGTTGCATTCGGCACTTCTGTTTTCAAAATGTAATACAAGACGAGCTATCTTAATAGTTTTGATGGCCACAGAAAAGTCTATCTATTAGACCCCTACAATGTGTTATCGCTGTATATAACGTTGAGTAATCGTGTGCGTGTGTATGTGAAATATATAAGAGAAGAAGAAAAAAGTGACATTGCAACACATGGCATATGTCAAAAGTTGCTCAATTGCAGCGACATCTGTACGAAATCGGACGAAATGGACCTGTAAACAAAAATAATTGCTACGAGTTTTTGTTTTGTCGAGGGAAAGAAAATTAGTATTTTGTATGAAATGTTGTCGGTATGTGACAAAACCGAACGAGACATCATCTAAACAAACCAAATATTATTGAAAAATAGCTAGAAATTTAGTTTTTTTTTAAACGATCAACTAATCATGACGATGTGGCTTTGACTGAAGTTTTACGGTTGAATTGATGAGGTTGATGGAACTGGTGCATTTCGCTTTCATCACAACACAAGACGAAAAAAGTCAGCGTTTGAATAGCAATGTCATTCGAACGATAATAAATGTTGTTTGGCCCAAACCACTAATCATTTGATAAGTTCGTATTTTGTTTTTACGCTAGGAAACATAATGTGCAATTAAGATAAATTTCATATCGCAGTTTTTGTGTTATTTGAGTTCCAGATGGGCTGTTGTCGAATTTGTGCCGAATTTGGTGCTTTTTTCATATCTTCTACACTCTTTTCTTTCAATTCTTTGACTTTAATTATAATTCGAGCTTTGTGTTCTTCTTCGCAGATTTAATTTTTATTTCTATCCCTTGATACGTTGCAACCAATTAGAGTATTCTGATTACATTGAAATTCGCAATGTTGATAAGGGAAATTCCAAAAAAAATCAAAAGCCGATTCAACGCATGGAGAATTATCGGGAATTACGTAATGTTTATGATAAACACTGGACATAATAACAAATTGCACAATTTATAACGAAAATCATTTATTGGCACCTAGTCGTCATACATTTTGGATCAAAAGCATTTTTTCCGTTACCATATTCGCTTGTTGATAAAACTACATCGTCATTTTTTCCTTCAAACTAAAAAACATCCTCAATAATGGGATCCATGGTGGTATCGACACTGGTTTGGCGACGTCGATTGTTCGAATTTTCATTCTGTGAAGCAGCAATGACATTTGGGATGGAGATATTGATTGGAATATTCCACTTTTTGTAGTTTTGATAAACAAACAATCCAATTTGGAGAGAAATAAATAGTGAAAATGTGATCATCGTAAAAACAACCAAAAATCGAACATCTGACACATTTCGCTCGGTTAGACTATGTCTTTCAGACAAACTTTCCAGCTTTGACTCCAGCTGATGGATGCGTTCCAATAGTTTTACGCCATGATTTAAAGAGAGTAGGTCAGGCTTTATGTCATTTTCTGTAGCTGGCTTAAAAGAGGTGGAAATGGTTGCAATTGACGTTGTTTTAACAGTTATCATGTTTTTACCCGCCTTAGTTTTATCATTTGTAGCTTCAGTCGTGCTTGGAGTTTCAGTTGGAGTTTCAGTCGTATTTTCATTCGACGATTCTGTGCTTGGCGCATATGTAGACTCGGTTATGTCGACAACATTGCGTCGCTCCGGTATTTTATTTGACCTTCGTACTGAATTATACAGCAAAGTTGTTCCATCTTCCAAAGCAGTTAGCGTTTCTTTATCAAGTGAGTCGGTGGAAATTTCGACGGTTTGAAGAAGTGGTAATTCAATCAAGGTACTCACATTGAACTTTCGAATTGGATTTCCCAGAATTACGAGCCGTTGTATTTGTGTTGTCCACAAGGGTGTGAAATCGACATCTCTGATGTTGTTATAGGAAATGTCCAATGCAGTTAGTTGATCTGCTATTGATAAATTCTTTAGATTTGCAAGGGAATTATTTCGCAAATATAACTCTTCCAAGATGCCATTTGGTTCAATGAACAGTTTCGTAATTTTATTGAAATTAGCGCCAATCGTCACCACACTATCCGGTATATTCAATTGCTCCAACGAAGCACTATCAATGTTCACATATTGTAATCGATCCATTCGCGTTAAATCCAGCGTACTCAAATCTGGATTGTGAGACATATCCAGTGTGACCAATTTCCTTAAATTCCAAAATGAACCCTCTTCAATTGTTTGGATTGAATTGTAACTCAGGTCTAATGTTTCTAGCTTCACTGTGATATCGAAATTTTCGTTGCTTATCGCTTGAATTTTGTTGTTATTCAAACGCAGCGTTTTCAACGAGATTAATGATATGAAAACGTTGTCATCGAGTGATTCAATTTGATTGCTCGACAGGTCCAGCTCTGTCAAAAATGGCAGATTTCGGAATGCATTTTCGTCAATTTGACTGATGCTATTTTTGGACAGCAATAAACTGTTGAGCGTACGACAATTGGCAAGCAGATCAGATGGTAACGCTAGTATGTTGTTCCGTCCAGCATTGAGGGTTGTGAGTTTTGGCCACGCACAAAATCCAATTTCGTCGATTATCTCAAGGGATCGATTATTCACATCAATCGTAGTTATCGATCGAGTTTGATTGACCAAATCCTGTGGAATCGGTTCCCATTTGATTACGTTGAATGTGAGAGTTTTCACCAAATCACAGTCTTTGATAAAAGCTGTATAACTTTGAAAATCGTTTATTCGACAGTCAGGGCCAGCATCAACAGCAGCAACAGTAGCAGCAGCAGCGGCAGTATGAATCATGAATATTGATAGGACAATATACATCATTGTTTTCGATTGAGCTCCCCTAGAAACCGACAAAATTTATTCAACGTACATATTTGAATATGATAAAATATTTACCATCCAAATTTTACTAAACAATACTTACATTTTTACTAAATATCCTCATTAACATCTAGTTGAAAAATCAAAAAATTTCCTCTTTCAAACGTCAGTAATTAAAATTCAACTTAATTAACAGGCTTCAAAATAGACTGTAATCAAATGTGATGTATCAAACGCAAAATACTTTGTTCGACTAATTAAACAGTACCAAAATTACAAGTTAGACTACAGAAATGGTGCATTTGATATGCTGAAATCAAACACCTTATCAAGGCGACCGATGAAAAAGGTCGTGGAAAGTTCAACCGACTAGATTTTGGTGTGTTACAGTTTTTTGCCTACTCTGTGTCATAGATAGATTTAGTGAATGTTATTGGGTGTTGTTTGAGATCTCCTGCATGTTGAAGAAAACACAACAACAAATATGTTTAAAAATAAAAACGACGCGTCAAGTGTGTATTTTCCTTTTCTACTTACGCTTTCGATTTGTTCAATACAAGCCTTGACCTTGATTCATTGAATCGAAATACACAGAGTTGAGTTTAGTAACATTTTAAGTTACAAATGTTGATCATCTCCTTTTGTTTTATGCCTATGGTCATATCGATGAAGCTTATCATTATGACCGATAAGGAATAGAAAGCTAAAAAAAGGAATGTCCACTAAGCATACGAAGATTTAATCAATATTTTCAACCATCAGTACACAGTTTGTGTCACAAACAAATTCCATTTTTCAGAAATTCATTTAAATCATATGGAGAACACGTATTACTATGCTTGTTATATATCGCTTGAATGACGAGCATGAACTGAAATGAGAACGTTTGTATCGTATATAAAAATAGAATCGAGTTACTTGAATGTTCAAACAAAAGATGAATGAAATTAGGAAATTCGGTTTCGCTGCAAAAGCAAATTACAGTGATTAAACTGTTTTTTTTTTGTCGACCGGAAATTTAAAAAGACGCAAGACTGATGTCTTATCGAATAGACCGTCTACCAAATTAGCTATTGTTAATGAGAGTTACACAAGTCAAGTACGATTTGTTATTGTTGGCACAAAACGGCTAATTTTATTTCTAACTTTTTTTGGTTATTTTTGAATAACATTCATTTGTTGATTTATTTTTATTCATTCGCTTGCATTCACTTGTATTATCATTGAACGATTTGCTGTTTACAAAATATTATCACAAAATATATGAACGAGAAGAAGGCATTTCATTAATTATTTAGCTTTGGTTGAAAAATACCCGAAATATGTGTCCAATCCAAATGTATTGGCTTCAAATCTGACTGAACTTAAAATATAGACTTTTTAAAATGTATGAACTGGCATTAAGTGCATGCATGTTTGGAGCAAAAATATGATTTTTCGTTTGTTTCGATGAAACGTTTGCGACTAAATTAAAGTACATCTTCAACCATTGGGTCCATACTGCCATTCAACTGGGTGCGTCGATTATTTGCTAAACCATTGTGGCGGATGGGAAAGAAATTTGGCATTAAAATTCTCCAGCGCCTATAGTTGGAATTTACGAAAACCGCTAATTGACAAGAAACAAACATGGTAAATGCAACCATCGTACAGATGATTAATACTCGTAGATTTGCCACACTTTCGGCCATTTCAGTGTGTTGATTGGGTGCGCTGCTTTCATTTGGCTCGGTTTTGATGTGACTTTCAATGGTTGATTCGAGATTTTGGATGCGCCGTAACATATCGTTGTTCATTCCATCTTTGGAATTAGTTGGTGCGGAAGGTGTCGGTGCATGAGTTGGCGTTGGCTTCTGAATTGATGGAACGGCGGTTGTCTTTGGCGCTAAAGTTGGAGCTGGTGTTAACTTAGCAGTGGTTGTGCTAATGGTTGTTGGAGTAGAAAGTGTAACAGGCCCAACGGGTGTCACTGGTGGCATGGTCATGCTGGTTTTCCGTTCTTTATCCCGATTCGGATCACGCAAACGAATATTCAATCGATTGGTTTCCGTTATCAAAACGGTTAGAGTTCGGTTATCCAAATTACTCGTGGTGATTTCTATGGATTTAATGGCAGGCAACGAAGTCAATGCTTGTACATTGAATGTTTTAATTGGATTTTCAAGTACGTCAATTCGTTGTATTTGTGTCGACATCAAGTATGAGAAATCAATATCCGTGATGTTATTATATGAAATATCCAAATTGGTCAACTGCGTCGCCGGCGACAAATCGCTAATATTCCGTAATGCATTGTAACTCAGGCACAGCTCTTCCAAGGATCCATTCGGATCGATTTTCAATTGCGTGATGTTATTGTTATTTGCAAAGACATTCACCACATAAGTTGGAATACGTAAATACGTCAATGAAGCACCGTTAACAATCACATCATGCAAACGATCCATTTCACTTAAATCCAACGAATTCAAACCCGGATTGTAGGATAGGTCTAGTGTAAGCAATTTTTTCAGTTTCCAAAATGAACCATGATCAATGGCTATTATTTGATTATAGCTCAGGTCCAATATTTCCAGCTTTCTATTATTCTCAAAATGATCCGTATCAATCGCTTGCATTTGGTTGTTGTTCAAACGCAGTGTTTTCAACGAGGTTAACGGTTTAAACACATTCCCACTCAATGATGTAATTTGATTGTTTGATAAGTTTAGATTGGTGAGCAATGACAGTCCATGAAATGCATCATCGTAAATCTCTGAAATGTTGTTTTTCGATAAAGATAGTGTATTGAGTAAATGACAACCGGCAAGTGCCTGCGATGGTAACGATGTTATGTTGTTTTCTTCCGCAAAGATGAATTTTATGTATGGCCAATCACATAACCCTTTGTTGTCAATCGCCTTTAATGATTGACCGCTGACATCAATTGAGTGAATGTTTCGCGTTTGATTGAGCAAATCTTTCGGAGGTGTGCTCCATAACTTCACATTGAACGTGAGAACTTTTGCATCGTCACAGCCTTTTATTGAATCGGTATAGTTTTGAAAATCTCGAACCTCACATTCAAAGCCACTGGCAACATGAATCACGAACATTGATAACAATATAGAAATCAGTGTTTTCTGTCGTGCTCCCCTGAAAAATGTTCGAAAAAAAAAACAAATCAAAAATCAATAACAAAGTGTCTCATAAACACAAACAAATCACGCTTACATTTTTAACAATTATCACATGTACTGGCAACTAAATCACTGATTTGTTATTAAAATTGATATTCAAAACAAAAAGTCTAATGATTCGAATACACAGGAGATCAAAACTTGTTTGCAGCTACGATCTATCACACTCAAAATACTTTGTTCGACTAAACTGACAATTGGCAAACAACAACACACTACTATTTCATGGACAGTAGAACGAAAGACCGTGCTGTGTATATACATGTAAATATATGCCCTATGCAGACGAATGCGAAAGAGAGAATGAGAGACATATTGAAATTCAAATATGTAGGCGAATACTGTCAACCACATTCAATATGCATATCAAACATTGTACATGTGATGTATTCGGTCTCCTTATCTCCTCGTCAAAAAAACATTAAAGGTCAAAAGGATTCGTATTAAAACAGTTGCCGCAATTTAAATTGTTTCATTTTTTTTTGTATCAAGTCGCATGATTTAAATGAGCTAGTGGTGATGTTGGTTTGTGTGCTGATATTACCTATCGCTGCTGTCCATAGGTTGCTTTGGATATGGAGTTTCGGAACCAAATTTGATGGTTGCATAGTTGAAGGCGTTAAATGTGTGGTGAAGGCAATAACTTTGCTTGACTTTTCTATGTAAAAGATTCAACTTTAACCAAAATACTTGAATAATGTGTATCGCACACAGTCATTGATTTCAAAAATATTAGATATTTTCCTCTGAATTCAATGACCTATTCTAGTCATCTCTTTTGCCATTTCGGTAGCAATGATTCATCTGTTGCCATTTTCAATATGAAAAAAAAAACGCATAACAAGTAAATAATAAAGCACCAAACACGATCTATACTATGTCAGAATTTTCATTCCGTTCACTCATACTCATACTGAACTGATCACAGCAACAGCAGAACATGTTTAACCTTATGGACTTAAAAATGCTTGTTATTCTAAATCTGAATTCAATTGATGTTCACCGAAACTGCGGCATAATGATAAATTATCTCTAATTAGAGTGAAAACTTTAGACACCTTTTTATGGCATTTAATTACAGTTGTTGTCATTTCGGTGTTTCCCCAACGTGCTAGAACTAGAATCGCATTTTTTTTTCTCGCTGCAATTATGCACCGTGCCTAACGGAAAATTTGGTTTTTTACACGAAAAAAATGGTCGTTTAAAATAATTAATCGTAAAAAGCTGTTATTAAATTCAAGCTTGGGTGTCATTTGAAGTGTGCAATTTTATTCATGTTCTTATTTGCATAATTTTTTTTCTAATAAATTGAAAGTTGCGCTGTAACTCGTTTTTTCTTTCTTTCTCTCTTCAGTAATTCATTGGAAAAGACTTTCTTGACAGTTCATTCGAAACCGAACTCAATTTGACAGATTGAATGTTGCTCAATATGGAACATAACCTCAATCCCATGTGTCCACAGTTCATTGTGTCAATCCGAACGAGTGCGTGCACGTTTTTGTTTGTTTTGCATTCCATTGATAAATTGTGAGAAGATTTGTATAAAAGTTGGATATTTCTCGGAATAAACATCAAAATGAAGCGTTTGGACGAAGAGAGAGCAAAAGTTTTCTTCGAAAAATTGGCTAAGTAGTAAGGAATTGGATTATTTTACACAAAAAAACGTGTTGTGAAAACATTGTGTTCTTCTTTCAGCATTGGTGAGAATGTAAAGCATTTGATCGACCGGTCCGATGGAACATATTGCTTCCGTGAGCAAAACAACAAAGTTTATTACGTGTCGGAGAAAATTCTGAAATTGGCCGAAAATGTTGGACGAGACAGATTGATCAGTTTGGGCTGTTGCATGGGAAAATTTTCCAAAACCAACAAATTCAAATTCAATATCACCGCACTCACCTATTTGGCACCATACGCACAGTAAGTGTTTTGGATGGATTTTGTTTTCAGCTTTGATATTCAATTTTTTTAGGGTTTTATCAATTTTCATGAGTTAAATTGCTAAACAATTTTGGATCAGCATCTTTTTTTTTTTATATTGAGAACTGTAATCTTTTTAACTAACATTACCATAACTAATTTTTCTTCTGTGTCGCCAGGTACAAAGTTTGGTTAAAATCATCGGCCGAACAGCAGTTTTTGTATGGAAATCATATTACCAAATCCGGATTAGGACGCATCTCTGAAAACACACCCAAACATCAAGGTGTCGTTGTGTACTCAATGAACGATTTACCATTAGGCTTTGGTGTCACAGCACGGTCAACGGCCGATTGCAAAACCACCGATCCACTCACCACCGTTTGTTTCCATCAGGCCGATATCGGCGAATACATTCGTAGTGAAGACACTCTATTTTGATTACTGTAATTCGAATTTAATTTTAATAAATGAAAATTAATGTAAATACGAATATGGGTTTGGATTTGTCGTATCACTCAGTTCAATTTTGTTTCAGTATTTCTCACTCTGAATGTTGATTTTTCAATGTGGAAATGCCTCTAAAATTCAATATTTCTGTAAATTAATACAAAATGCTATTTAAAGAGATGCACTTGATTTCGTCGATATTTCAAAGCCGTAATTTAAAAATAGTTCATTTTCGAATGACGGAATGAAAAAAAAACAACCGAAGACGAGAGAGAAAAAAAAATCGTTGAAAAGGGACAAAAAGGCGTACCTCTGTGCATGGGGTCAGATTTATTTATGGAAGCCGATCAAAACATAATTTTTACTTTGATTTATATTTTCTTGACTATTTTTAAGAAGACAGCCATTCGGATTCTGCCAATCGTCGAAAATCGCCGCACTTTGCGACTCATAATTTACGAGGTTTTAGTCTCGTGCATCGGAATCATGTTCGAGTGCTATTTTAAGTCAAGCGGGAATTGATTTTTTCTTCTGTGTTTCGGTACAAGTGTATGATACTGGAATCCTTTTTTTTTATCAATATCAATGTTGTACTCACATGCACTCGTACGTTATGTTGCATGTGCGTTGATGTTGATCATAGTACGATGAGCTACGGTGAGTGCGCGACACATGTGCACTATGGAATTTTGAAAGAGCGTGAAAACGAAGGAAAGAAAAACACATTTTTTTCTTCTTCAATTTTCATCTCCTGACATGCTGGAAGGCGAATGAAAGACACAATAAACACACATATATGAAATATGATGAGACAAATTTTAAGGGTAAACAACGCATATCTCAAACATATTTGGTTTATTTGATTTGTAAGTGTGATCGCGTAAGGACGCATCTCTCCGGTTACAGTTACGTGATCAAGTTTTCCATTCCGTTTGCTGTGTATTAATACGAAGTTGTTAATTGTTCGGTTTCGCTGTGGTGTTATGAAAAATTACGTTATAATTTGTTTGCGGGCATAATTCACGTTATAAAATTCTTTGATTTTAACACGAAATTCCGAAGATTACCTTCGCGAAATTCTGATACAAACGAAAAATTTAAAAGGACTCTTTAAATATTTGTTCTAAATTACGTGAAATGTTTTCACCGGACGTATTCCAATCGAATAAACCGGTCGATTTTTACTTTGAACCAAAGAAAATGGATAGTTCAATGGGTTATTCGAATTATATTATGATGAATTCCACGGCTGTGCTGACACCAACATCGCCACAAACATTTTGTTTTCCAACGAAATCCTTCGATACCACTGATTACATGGCGACAGACACATTCAACGTATCAACGCAATCGACTAATTACAACAATGATTGTTTTAATTGGTTTGATATGGGCTCGGTGGCCGACACACCGAATTCGGCTCAATCGGCAATTTCAACCTCAACCAAAGCTATTAAAGAGGAGATTTTCAACTTTGAACCCGAATACATTGAGCTCTTCCAGCGTAATTGTGACAATCCAGGTACAAACACTGATAGTTTTGAGCAGCCAGACAATGATTACATGAATTTCAACGAAAGCAATTGCCAATCAAAGTCGATATGCACTTCACCGAATATTGAGTCTCTATTGGAATCTGGTGACTCGATTCCATCAACCACAGGCAATTGTCTTCCACCGATATCCACCTTTTCGGAACAATTTCAAAACAATTACTTGGATCGAGATGACTTCGGTTTGATTGAACACGATTCGCCAATGATTCAAAATGATATCGACTTCGAAACCATGAACAATTTCAACTTCAATCAAATCGCCGAGGACAAATGCGATCGCAACGAGAAAAACATTTGGGAAATGTTAAACATTGACACCAGTCAACCAGAATCACCAACCGATAACATTTTTGTCGATGAAATTCCGGACTGCAAAAATGACATATCCACCGAAACCGAGAAAGTATCAAACATTATCGACGTTGAAGTTGACCTGAAAACCAATGCAAAAGATTGGATTTGTCAATGGGAAAATTGCTTCGAGATTTATCGCAATCAAAGTGAATTGGTGAAACACATTGAAAAGACGCACATTGAGGCGAAGAAAGGTGATGCCTTTTCATGCTACTGGTTGAATTGTGCTCGACAACACAAGCCATTCAACGCTCGTTACAAGCTATTGATTCATATGCGTGTGCACAGCGGAGAAAAGCCGAATAAGTGCCAGGTAAGTTCAATCGATTGCTTTTTGAAAAATGTTCGTATTGCCTCCATTAAAAACGATACACTGTGTGATGAGCCTCATAAAAGTTGAAAGTTTTCAATATAAATAAAAGAGCGTGTATCTGTAGTTGTTTACATCATCATTGCCGCCAATGTGCGATGCGTATAAATTATGTGAAAAAGAAGAGAAAAACCAACGCGCCACTTAAACTGCATTGCACTTGACTGGTGAATGCGTGCGTTATGAAAATGCATAAATATTATTTTACGACATAGGACATCGCTAGTTTTATGTTTATTGAAAGAGATTGAATAAAAAAAAACAAGAACCGAGAAAAAAAACGGCTTTGAAATGGGCAGCAGAAAAAAACGCATGAAAATGTTGCATAAAAGAAAGGCGACGGTGAACCGAAAACAAATAACACATGTGGTAATTGTGTTGTGGTTTCAATTTCAATGCTTGACGATATCATTTGATATGCATACATTCAATCCATTGGAATTGTTCACGCGGTATATCTGTTAACGGGTTGAGATCCCATAGGGAAATGCACTTGCACTTGCGAGGATCGTGCACCGATCGCGCGGCACTGGAAAAACAGGGACAGTTCTCGATTTATGCTCAACGACGCATATTTATGGTAAATCGATGAAAATTCCTTTTTAAATTGAAATAAAGTTTTTTTCTTCGTCTTAGTCGTTGCCGTCGTCGTCGTCGTCGTTGTAGTCCTTCGAGCCAACATCAATCCCATAAATTATTTGATTTTGTCTCTTCTACTTCGTAGTAACATCTATTTGTTTCGTGTGTACACGACAAACAATCTTCATACACATAATTTTACTGGTTGTTTTTTTTCTCCATCGTTCGTCCTCTCTCTCTCTCTCTCTCTCTCTCTCTCTCTCTCCTTGTCATTATTACTCAGTATGTGGCAGAGCAGATGAATGAAGGAGCAAAGAATTGAATTTTTATTTTCATGCGTGAACATAAATTCTTAATTACATTACTTTTATCTGTTTCACTTTTTTTATCCACTCACTTTAGCCCTTCATCGCATAAACTGTTATTATTCACTGTGGTTCAGGTTTTTTTCTGTTGCCTTTCTTGTTAGCATTTTTTTTCTTCTTTGTATGTGTCGTCGTCGTCGTCGTCGTCGTCGTTGTCGTCTTACGTTTGTTTGTTTAGTGGCAAAGGCCAACTAAAAACTATACAACGCATGCACATGTGTTGTCTATTATTTACATCACCGTTTTTCATTATTCGATTTGTTCCAAGTTGTACATTCCGTTTGTTGTTTGTTACACACTTAACAAGGGGTATGTCATAATTCACAGCACGAAAATCCACGCAACGAAACAAAGTAGACGAGAAAGAGAGAGAGAGAGAGAGAGAGAGAGAGAGAGAGATGATGATGAAGGAGAACAAAAAAACAATTTTAACCCTCTAATCGGCAAGACCCCCCCTCTGACTTTTTGGTTTTTGTATAAAAAGTGAACAGTTAGAAACGCGATGGAAAAAAAAGTGAAGACGCGAAGAGTGAAGACTCCATACGCGAGTTTTTTTTCTTCGTTTGTAACCGCGACGTGCGTAATGACTCATTTGCTCTAAAATCTAAAACTAAGATTAAGTCATTTAAATAGAGAAGGCATATGGTGTTAGACTGCACTTGTCTTAATGTTGCACCCCGAATTGGTCGATTTTCGTTATATAAGCTGAAATATGGATTCGAATTGCCGACGATGTCAACTTTTTCTACGTTCAAGTCAATGACCGAAGTGAAAAGAACAATTTACTGTTTCCAATTATCCTTCTTCCACATTCCGAAGCCATTTTTTTCTCTCTCTCTCAATAGACAGAGTGTGAAAAAGGACTTTTTAAAAGGAGATGAGTTTTTTTTGACAAAATGACATCTGATGGATTTAGGAATGCTGGGCGTAAATCCTCTCTCTCTCGCTCTCGTTCTCTGCCACCAAAATAAATGTGTTCTTAATGAATCGAAAAATGAAGCGGGTGAGAAAAAGGTCGTGGCGGCTTAATGATATTATGATCGATATTCAGTTCACTGTCTCTCTCTGTTGCCTTGGCGTAGTGTGTGACGGTGGTGCACATTTTTCCATCAGTCAACAGCGGCACAAAACTAATAAATGACCGTGAGAAAATCACGGCTCGATTTTCGATTGAAAATTCCGTTAGAACGAACGCACTCACTGAGCTGATTGATTTACTTGAAATGCATTCGGATTAAGTGACTGTTTCCAAAGTTTATATCCTTTTGAATGAACATAACTACCGGCATTGCTGTCGATGATGATTTTTATTATGATTTAACGAACATTTTAGATGATTGGAAGTGTTAATGTTGTGTTTTTCCCCAGTTTAAGGGCTGCGATAAATCATTCTCTCGACTGGAAAATTTGAAAATTCATCGAAGATCCCACACTGGCGAAAGGCCATATGGTTGTTCCTACGTTGGATGCACCAAAGTGTTTAGCAACAGTTCGGATCGGGCAAAACACCAACGAACACACTTTGATGCGGTAAGTTTTGTTGAAATTTGACCTCAACTCATGACGCGGTAGCTGTTTCAATTTAAACCAAATTTTTCTCGTGGTTGTTTGTTTTTCTTCCAGAAACCATATGCTTGTCAGTTGCCCGGTTGCACCAAACGCTATACGGATCCTAGTTCATTGAGGAAGCACGTGAAAAATCATGCCATCAAAAGTCAAATGAATCCAAAGAAGAAAACAGCCAAAGAACTTGAATCGGTACAGAAACGACTGAGTTTGGTGTTGAGAGAACGATCCAGCGATAGTATTCAGAAGAGAGCCAATGATTTTTTGAATGAAAAGGAAGTTCACATCAAACAAGAGTTCAACGTTCACACGAATTTCTTTTTCAACGATTCAAATGATGATGGCAATCAAATGGAAGAAAGTACAAATTCAATTGATCTCATGGATATCTCCAGATGCATACTGGGTATTGAGGGTGAAGAAATCCAATACCAGTACAAGGACAGCATGATCGTCAAAACGGAAAACTCTGCTTCGGACGAGGATAATATTGAAGCCATAAAAAAGTACTTAATCGAACAGCCGACTGAATACATTGATCTCAATGCCCTACAATCCACAAAACATAACTACTTCAACAATTTTTAAAAGCATTTTACTCGTTCAACTCTTTAGTTTTTAGTGTTTTGTTCTCTCACATTTTTTTATTAGATCTTAAATTCAATCATGCATTTTATTAGTTTTTAAGAAGAAAATGTGTTATGTTAAGTGCTTCCTGGTGCAATTTCGGCGCTAAAAATGACTTTGATTTGAAATCTCGTTTGCATTTAAATGACATTTAGATTTATGATTCCAAAGACTCGATGTTCATTCGGTAAAATCGTGAGAAATATCATTTGAAAATAAATGAAATAATTTTTTTTCCTTTTCGTTCTAATCAAATCGCTTCATTTGTTTTATTTTTTTTTTGTTCTTGCGCCACCGACAAATGCTGACCACTTAAGATTTAAGTTTGAACATGATTTCTTTGTTGATAAATCAAAGAGGCGAGAAAAGCGCCGCTTCTCATTGATGGAGTGCTACTGGTCAGTTGTCCAATGTAAAAAACCGTTGATATGGTTGTGTTCGTGATGAGCGCACGCATCCGAAAATCTAATTTCGGTTTCCGATTCTTCTCTGAACTTTGCCGCCAGCACACTCATTTGCTCGTCACATTACTCAAGTGGACATGGAGAGACTGACGAAGCGAGAGCCTCTTTCAATGTTTCTATTATTAATCGAAATCGTGTTCAAGAAGTGTGTCTCTGTGTGTTTCTTTTTTCTATCATTTTTTAAATTATTATTCTGACGCCATGGCACGCACAATCGATAAAATTATTGAAATTTTTTCCAAATGAAATCGTAAAAACCAACACATTCGTCGTTCGTGCTCAATAAATGCGGCACCTTTTTATCGATGTGGGAAAATCTTGAGCTGAAAAAAGTCCCCATTCGATTGAAATTAAAAAAGTGAATGCGTGTACGGCCTTTGACTGTGCGACCCTGACTGGAAGGAAAAATCGATTGTTTTTTTGGTAAACTCTCGATCCAAAAAAGAGCGTCGAAAAATTGTTGTTTAGCAAATTGAAAATGCATTCCGATACTGTTTGATCCTTGATCTTTTCGTGTTGCATGTTCGATGCCAATAATTTTCACTGAACCGAACGACATTTTTTTTCGTTGGCGACATTCAACTATTTTTCATGCGTATGAAATGATTCTATTTGCTGGCAAGTTTATCTCTTATCATTTATCAGCATCAGCGTTAAGCCCCCACATCGTAGCAGTAAGCAGCACGTAAGTGGAAATGATCATCGAGGTGTAACCTTACCAATAATTTACCGCGGTTAGTAATGGAATTCTTGAATCAGCGATAAATGCTGAACGCAATTCGTTTTAATGCGGTATGAATTTTAAGCCATCAACAAAAACGAAATGGCGAAAGGTTTATCGTTATCGCGATCCATGCAATTTTGCACCACAGCAAAGAGATCATCATGTTTTCGAGTTCATATTAGTAAATTGGATTTGCGTTTCAACAAACGTTTTTTTTTGTATCTATGAAATGAATCACCGAAGTATTCAACCCACCGAAAAAACGACTGCATTAGGTGACAACCGAAAAATTTATCGTATGCAAATTACGCGACTAACGCGTTTTGTTCATGAAATGCGGTCAAATAAACAAACTTGAGGCGAACGATAACTATCGGTCGTTTGGTTAAATCAGATCACTTTTTCGTATGTGTGTATAAGCCCATGCAGCACACCGTGGTTATAATTTCGTATGATGACTTTCTTGTGCGCCACGAGTTGTTATCAAGACACGCAAGCAGTATGCATTCATTGCCAAAGCAGAGAAAAAACGTTTCAGAACGAATTTTTTTTTCTGCTATTGGATTCACGAGAGAGCAATTTCTGTGGTTGAAGTTGCGTGTGACCAAATGCAAGTGCACACCGAAACACCCAATTCACCATAATCACGCTTAATTATCAGCTCGTTTATTTTATAGGTTTGTATTTTACGCCAAAACTGCACCATTCCGCTGCGTTGTCTGGGTGTGTGTGTGAACTGTTTCTGGGTGACGCGTTACCCAGCCACAAAAACACTTGACATTTTGAATCAATTTGTTTTCAAGATTGCTGCAAATGCATAATTTGTATCCTTTATTTCGATCCCAATTCGAAAATAACTGACTGCAAGCGATTCCACGCGCAGCGCACCCAAATTCGACAATGAGACAGAATTGAATCGATTTTTTTTTCTCTGTTCAGACGGAAGAGCAACAACTTATAATTTTAGATCAATAAACACTCTTTTACCGTTTTGTTTCGTCTTTTTATTCCACTTGTTCTCTTTCACTTCGGTCGGGTTAATGGTTGAAAATCGATTATATTTTATGTATATGTGCAAATCGGACACGACTGTCTCAATTGGAAATCATTTCATTCGGCGGAAGACAAGAAAAAAGGAACAGAAAGAGAAAAAGAGCAAGAGTGAAAGAAAAACCTAGTTGGCTGGGCCATTGAGTCGTATTGAGATACCGACAATTTCGGTTATAAAGAAGCGCGATACATCAAAATCCAATCGATACAAAAGTCGAAATGGGAATGAATATGAAAATGATTAATATCGCGAGTAACGCCTTGTCGTCCAACATTCGTTTCTCCGAAATATGCCACTATCTCTGCGGTATGATCGTTTCATTTCATTTTTTACGATGCCATTTCACCGTGCCGGTTGTTGTATCAATGCTCGCTTTTGCCAAATGCAAATTCTCTGTAGACGGTCGATATTCGATTTGGTCGATATTCGATCGATTTCGATACTTTTTCGGATCGGGACTATGGCTGGCAAAGGGGAAGCGTACATAAATAAATGTTTCATAGTGTTGCTTATTGATAAATTATATAAGCGATTCCAAATCAGATTTCCAGATGAGGCGAACAGCGGAATAAAGGTAAATTAAATGGAAAGACGGCTGACGCTATGCATGGCATTTTTTTTGGTTCGTTTGGTTTGTCTTTTCCCCCCTCAAGATGAGTATCAAAATGGTCAAGTGGCCGAGATACTGTGGGATTTCAAAGAATTTTCTTGCACCAATGAACCAACCGATCGATCGATCGCACCATTTTTAAAAACTCAGACAACGGGCACACTCGCTTATGTTTTTTTCCGTCTTCTTCTTCTTCTTCTTGGCGAGCGAAACAATGTAAAATGTATTTTAAATATATATTCGTGATAAAAATGTACGGCCTGAGGAAATTTGTCAAATAAACGAAACATGATACTCACTGCTGAACCATTTGCTTAATTTCAACGCGAAAAGCGGTGAACAATATATATCCGTTTTGTTCGCGGGCCGTAAGAGTTAACAGCAACATTAATACATCGGTCAACATGAAGCTGAGAATGAATCGAACCGAAACCCATACACGAAAAAGACAATTACAGTACTAAAGACAAATGGTGTGATAATTCGGTATGAAGTGAGAGGAGAAAATTGGCCATACAACTGTTTGAATTTATCACACACACATTTTATACGTATGCCAATGGACAAAAGACACAATGATTATAACCTTTGTGTATGCAAAGAGTGGCCACTTTATTTATTTGTTTGCCGGAGAGATCGAAATGAATGCATCATCAGTTGCAGCGTGTTAATTCGATTTCGATGCGACGATGCGACGATACACCACTGGTTAAATTAGTTTGTGTGTGAAACACAAAGTGAACGTAAGAAGACGAGGGATCGGTTTCCATTCTCATTATGCATAATAATCAAGTGAGCCATGTGTCATGTTTGATTCCATTCAGGAGATATACCGGGGCCAGCCGAAAACACAACCAAATGAAATAAAGTGTTGACAGCCAAAGTATAGTTAATAAAGCGTTCTGTTTTTCTTCTCGCAGTTATCGAACATTTCTGTAGGTCCAGCGATGCCGTCATCATTACGGTTCGCTTTTGATTTATCCCAACCGATTTTGGGTTTTTCGGTTGAATTCAGCGAATGAAATACCAAAACTACTTTCGCAAAATGAGGATGAGAGAATATCGACTTTCAAAATGTCCACAATAAAATGCGCTAAAATAATACATAAATTTTATGGTCAGACGATTGAAGCATATTCTTGTTTGTAATCATCCCGATGGATTTACGCTTTATTTTCTCCTTCTTTTTCTACTTTTTCCCATAAAACATTGGATATGCATGGAAAACATGTCGAAAAGGCGTGTTCAAATCACACAAATCCATTACGTATTAATAAACAATTATTACAATTTTAATGCACGTTATAATGACACTTTATGGAAACAATTACCCGTTAGCTCAATCGTTTTCTACATCCATATCGATAATCCATGCAGCTTAGAAGTTCGTGTTCGTATGTTCGAGCGGAAACGAAAGCGGTGGCCTTTTAATTCTGGTCATTATGCATTTATATCGCATTAGCAGATGCATACCCACGGATTTTGCACACGAGATTCGCCGATGATTGCATTTTAATTTCAACTCTATCCGACACTTGACGATAATCTATATACGTACAACGATAGACTGTGTTGACGATAATCCATCATCATCTTAACTGATTTCTAATGAATATTTGTCGTTTTAATTCCATTCCCACTTCACCGCACCGAGAACTGTCAATAAATCGGCACGATCGTTATTTTTAAAAATCAATCGTGACGAGCCGTCAACACAGAATTCAAACAAATCATCGCCATGAAATTGACTGTATATGAACAACGCATCGTTATCTGTCGATCGCCCAGCCAAATGCCACTCTCCGTGCAATGATGCGCTTTTATTATTATTAAACATAATGATAGGTGCAGTTGTGAACGTTGTTGTTTATCACACATAATTTTCGCACATTATTTTTTCACATCTCTTGGCTGCGATGAAAACAAGTGCTCCGGTTACGTTTTCTGCATTTTGTAATGCTGAAATGTGTTTAATGCATGCCGACATCAACTGTACATTTACAATTGGGAAGCTTGAAATCAATTTTTCGTACCCACAGACACAATTTTGATTGGTGTTATAATTGGTTGAGTGACGCTTCGAACAAAACAGATAAAAGGAGAAAAAACATGAAATTGCGATGCAATTTAACATGATATTTTAAAAATCCGAGCATATATTAAACGACGGGCGACTTGCTATAACAAGAAGTTGCTCACACTTTTGCTTGCCACCGCGAACGAAACAAAACAATTAAAGATG